CCTAAGATCCGGCGCCTCCAGTGTCGTCCTGATCTAAGGGACAGAAAGAGGAAGGACTCAAGTCTCGCTTTAGCTAGACCACCCCCCCAAAACGTTCAAGCACCCAAGAGGTGATCCGCTGTTATAGCGGGCAGAATATAACACAAACATTTTCAAAAAGAGAGCAGTTTTACTCTTCCACTCGAACCAATCCAACCCCTGTCTTCCCGGGCCGAGGCATGGCAAGCCATCCCCGGAGTGTCAGAGTGGGTTCTGGGGATAATAAAGCGAGGCTATACACTTCAATTCACTCGAAGACCCCCACACTTCAGCGGAGTGGTCCCCACTTCGGTTCAGAGCAGAGACGCACACGTCCTGCGCTCCAAAGTGAAGAATCTGCTGGAAAAAGGAGCCATAGAGGTGGTTCCTCCGGCCCAGAGCGAGTCAGGCTTCTACAGGTTCCTATCGCAAATCCGCCCAGAGGACTGGTTCTTTTCTCTGGACCTGAAAGACGCCTACTTTCACATCCAAATAGCCCCCCATCACAGGCCATTCTTGAGATTCGCCTTCGAGGGAGTGGCTTATCAATATACGGTCCTTCCCTTCGGGCTGTCCCTGGCTCCACACACTTTCACGAAGTGCATGGATGTGTCTCTTTCCCCTCTGAGGCAGAAGGGAATCCGCATTCTCTCCTACCTCGACGACTGGCTCGTTCTGGCCCAGTCAGAGGCGGAGTCACTATCTCACAGAGCCCTTCTCCTCAGCCACTTAGAATGCCTAGGGCTCAGAGTGAACTTTGCCAAGAGTGCACTGTCCCCCAGCCAATTAGTCTCGTTCCTGAGAACAGTGTTTGACTCGACTCAAATTAGAGCAGTGCTCACAACATAACGCACTCTGACCATACAGCAGCTCGCAGCCTCCTTCAAGGCTAGTGACTCTCGCCCCCTCAAGACATTACAGAAGCTGCTAGGCCTTATGGCTGCAGCGTCTCCAGTGCTACAGTTGGGCCTGCTAAGTATGCGAGCCCTGTTCCTGCAGGAGGAAGGTGGTTTTGACAGATGCTTCCAACACGGTTTGGGGAGCACTGTGCGAAGGGAAACCGACGTTTAGCCATTGGTCGAAAGCAGAGAGAAGTCTGCACATCAACTGCCTCGAAATGCTGGTGGTATGGCGGGCCTGTCAAACCTTCCTACCAGACCTGAGAGGACACCATGTCCTGGTCCGTTCGGACAGCATGACTGTGGTGTCCTATATAAATCACCAGGGGGGGCTGTCCTCGAGGCAGCTCCTTGTGCTAGTAGAGTGCCTCTTGGAATGGGCTCAGCTCAACCTGTGCTCGCTGAAAGCAGTGCACGTTCTGGGCAAACTGAACAAGGGAGCGGACATGTTGTCACGGAGCAAAATCCCCTCAGAAGAGTGGATGCTTCATTCGCAGACGGTTCAGAAAATTTGGGAAATCTTTGGCAAGGCAGAAGTAGACCTCTTCAGGAGAAAAAATTACTTTTTCCCCATAGCGTCTTAAGCAAGACACAGTACTCGTTCCTGTATCTCAGGGAACCGAGGTTACGTTTGTAACCGAATACGTTTTTATCTAGTTATCTTTCACACTGCTGCAACCACAATATTTCTTCCATTCTTTCCTTCCTATTTTTTCCATTCCTTCCTTTCATTGTTTCTTCTTTTTTCTTCTTTCCTTCATTCCAAACTCTGTAAATTACCATAATATTGACAGATTGACGTTTCTGGTAAATAAACCATACATTGTTCAAAATAAAGGTTCCAAAATAGTTGTGAAAGGTTCTTTATGGAATCATTTATGCCAATAATGTTCTCGCAAGCAATGGCTTTCTGTCTTTTTGCAGTAATATTTACCATTGTTTAACAAAATTTGTGTGGTTAAAATTGAGTCATTTTCAGTAGTAAAGATTTCTCTACAGATTTTGCAGCAGGTTCAAGTTGATCACAAAGATTCACCTCGCTGACCAACAGAAGGCAGGGTGGAGTAATCGCGTCATCTCCTTCAGAATGTTATAATTGGTCCAAAGCAGACTTCTAAAGCAGATGTCAGTGTGTCTTGACTTTGTAAATGCTCATATGGAATCTTATGCTTTGTTCACGTATAGCATCAAAATGGCAATTTACTGGTAATTTTGCCATTTCTCATCTTAGAAAATTGCCAGAAATGAAAGATCCTGTTCAAACGATCTCAAAACGGTAATTTACCAGTCATTTTCCAACAAAGTTTGTACATGCAAAAGCCTCTCATGTTCTCCTCCTGACCTTCATTCTTTTTGTATCCTCTTTTTATTTTCTCCCCTCTTGTATATGCTCCTTCCTTCTTCCCTTCTTAAATTATTTAATTCACTGTCCCTTTCTTTCCTTTATTAGTTCTTCTTTCTTTTTTCCTGCATAGTTCCTTCCTTCCTTCTATCCATCCATTTTCTTTATTTTTTTCCTTTTCTGTCCCTTTCATCCCTTCATTGATTTTTTTTCTTTCATACTTCTTAGCCCTTTCCTTCAGCTCAACCTGTGCTCGCTGAAAGCAGTGCACGTTCTGGGCAAACTGAACAAGGGAGCGGACATGTTGTCACGGAGCAAAATCCCCTCAGAAGAGTGGATGCTTCATTCGCAGACGGTTCAGAAAATTTGGGAAATCTTTGGCAAGGCAGAAGTAGACCTCTTCAGGAGAAAAAATTACTTTTTCCCCATAGCGTCTTAAGCAAGACACAGTACTCGTTCCTGTATCTCAGGGAACCGAGGTTACGTTTGTAACCGAGTACGTTTTTATCTAGTTATCTTTCACACTGCTGCAACCACAATATTTCTTCCATTTTTTCCTTCCTATTTTTTCCATTCCTTCCTTTCATTGTTTCTTCTTTTTTCTTCTTTCCTTCATTCCAAACTCTGTAAATTACCATAATATTGACAGATTGACGTTTCTGGTAAATAAACCATACATTGTTCAAAATAAAGGTTCCAAAATAGTTGTGAAAGGTTCTTTATGGAATCATTTATGCCAATAATGTTCTCGCAAGCAATGGCTTTCTGTCTTTTTGCAGTAATATTTACCATTGTTTAACAAAATTTGTGTGGTTAAAATTGAGTCATTTTCAGTAGTAAAGATTTCTCTACAGATTTTGCAGCAGGTTCAAGTTGATCACAAAGATTCACCTCGCTGACCAACAGAAGGCAGGGTGGAGTAATCGTGTCATCTCCTTCAGAATGTTATAATTGGTCCAAAGCAGACTTCTAAAGCAGATGTCAGTGTGTCTTGACTTTGTAAATGCTCATATGGAATCTTATGCTTTGTTCACATATAGCATCAAAATGGCAATTTACTGGTAATTTTGCCATTTCTCATCTTAGAAAATTGCCAGAAATGAAAGATCCTGTTCAAACGATCTCAAAACGGTAATTTACCAGTCATTTTCCAACAAAGTTTGTACATGCAAAAGCCTCTCATGTTCTCCTCCTGACCTTCATTCTTTTTGTATCTTTTTTATTTTCTCCCCTCTTGTATATGCTCCTTCCTTCTTCCCTTCTTAAATTATTTAATTCACTGTCCCTTTCTTTCCTTTATTAGTTCTTCTTTCTTTTTTCCTGCATAGTTCCTTCCTTCCTTCTATCCATCCATTTTCTTTATTTTTTTTCCTTTTCTGTCCCTTTCATCCCTTCATTGATTTTTTTTTCTTTCATCCTTCTTTGCCCTTTCCTTTTCTTCATTATTCCCCTTTTCCTACCTTATTTCTTCCTACATTTTCCCTCTTGCCATCCATCCATCCTTCCTTCCTTCACCGTCCTTTTATTCCTGTCATTTCCCTTCCCTTCCCTTCCCTTCATTCTTCCTTCCATTCATCCATCCATCCTTCACTGTCATTTTCTTCCTTCCTTTCATTCTTTCTTCCTTCCTTCCTTCCTTCCTTCCTTCTGTTGTATGTATGTTATTTTCCATCAACCTTTTTTGTAATGTTTTTGTCCCACTCTTCCTTCAGGCATATGTCATGCTTTGTTCATTCTACTGTACATTTAGTCTTTCTGTGTCCACTTCCTGTCTTTTTTCAATGCCTGTTTTTGTGTTCCATAAAGTTCCTCTGACCTTGCTCTCTCCCTATCCCCTTTTGTGTGACATTTCTCAAAGTCAAATGATCAAGAGAGCAATAAAGCTATAAATACCTTCACCTGTCAAATGATCCACTGCCGAATGTCATATTAATAGATTTGTTAATAGATTATTTGATTTAATAAACTGCCAGGCTTGTATTTAAGACTGTTAACTCCTTAAATGCTCATTCCAGTTTGAAGGTGATTCTAGTCTAGTATACAATCTCTGTTGTAACAAAATATGGGGTAAGTTAAGACAATTTTAAAAGCACAAATTCCATCATAGACTGCTAGAAAATCATTTTTAAACTCATTTTAGTACTACAGTGAAGACAAATCAGTATGATTTTAATCATTATGAGTTTCCCTCCTCTCCTGTCTCACAGGCATCAATTTAGTCTAATGGATTCTTAGAGTTTGATATACAACAAAATGTATTGACCCTGTCAAAAAAACCCTGTTATTATGCCTGAATCGGATCATGCATTCATTAGGCAATGTCATATTCCTGCCAATATTGCATCTAGCTTAGGGCTCTGTGATCTTTCTCAACAAGCAAAAACACCCACCACAAACAAATAACATAATGCAACACTCTTGTTTCAGTTAATAATAATACTAATGATTCCTCTCTGTTTTTCTATTTTCTCATAATGGTTTTTGCTTCTGTATTGATCTTCTGTCTTAGCTTTGTCTGAATCTGCTGGCCAAGGCAAGTTATGCTTTATTTAATTTACCACATCACTACATTTTCTATTTAACCATATGTACTTATATTAAGCCAATGGCTTCATGTGTAATTTCTTATTGTTTTCCATCAGATGGAAAAGAGAAGGGATTGGAACCATTTGTATACGGTAAGAATCAATACTTACAAAGCTTACACAGGTCAATATTTACTTGCATAACAAAGGATTATGTCACTTTATAAGCAACATACTTCTCAAACAGCAAGTACCCAAATATAGAGGAATATAGGGTAATAGGTATCTTGGCTTCTGTTACCTGTATAGTCACACTTCACACAGTCATATTCATCTGTGCCTTCAGAATGCAATTACACCCTGATGCAGCATATCAAAATTAGGTCTACATTTTTTTTTTAACACAGTATTTTGATAATCTCCAGACACTATTTAATATCTGAAAATTTGTGAATAGACCTGAGTGACTTGACTAATTATATGGTAGTCGATGAAAAATACAGGGCAAAGTGTGCTCCGAAACATTGTGTATCCACTCAAACCACATTTGCAGCATACTGTACGTAAATAGAGCCACACATGTAAAAAAGTTCACATCAGATATGCTGTAATCACATCACACTCCTTAGGAACTTTGAGATGACACTATAAAGAAGAGAAAGATTAGAAAATGCCACTACGATTGTAGATACTACATCAAACTGTTCAACCAGATGGGCAGTTGTCAGGGAAGAAACCAAAAGGCCAGTTTCTATCTGACAGAGCTCCAGAGGCCTTTGGCTGCCCAGACATCAACAACCACTTCAGCACTACACAGGTTTGGCCTCTTTTGGAGAGTGGCTAGAGGCAAGCCACTTCTGAGTGAGGCCACAATTACAACATCATGCCTCGAGTTTGCTAAAAGCAAAAACCTGACAGATTATTTTGGAGTAACAAAATTCAGAAACAAAAATTCAGCTTAACACCCATGGATGGTGGGAACTCAGTGGTTAAAGTTACAATTGAGCAAGGTACCTTAACTCCAAATTGCTCCAGGGGATTTTTTTGGAAATTGGATATTGAATTTAAAGAGCAGGTCATCTGGTATTTTAAAGTGTCCTAATATTGTGTGGCAGTCCCCTACAACAGGTTTAAATGCATCTAAGGTCAGAAAACATTGTAATTTTATCAGAATATACATTTAATATTAGAATCATTTGCCAATGATTTCTAAACGGTGTGTTCCAAGCAAGTTCGGAGCAAACCCTTCCCTTCCATAAGCCTACTCTGCTCTGATTGGTCAGCTGGCCAAGCCTGCTGGGATTGGCACAGAGAGGAGTCCTTGAGCAAGTTAGCGAGTGCTACCATTGACAAAGCACCTTTGCATAAAACAATAATATAGTGCTCCAATCCGTTCTTATAATAATGACATACAATACTAAAACACTTATGCAAGCAAATGCCCACAGCTAAAGTTAAGCTGCTAAACTGTGGACACTTAAAACAATAATGGTGGATACGTTAGCCGAGTGATAACATACATTTTGTAAACCAAAATATGTCTACTGTAATGTTTGAAGAATGACAGAGAAAAGATGCTCTTTGTCTTAACTTTTTAATAAGAACAGCTGTATCACAGGCGCACCAGCCTAACTCGCTCGTCTCTCCCGCATTAACCCTATAACTGCCGATGCAGCAAAATAAACAGCAATTTCACAATGATTATAAAGTCTGTGCGCTACACTACATTCTTTATTATTAAATGAAGTAATTAGAACAACGTCAGTCTACATTAATCGACACATTCTTAGGAAATAGTGGGTTCAAAGCGACTTATCAGAACTACTTCAGTAAGACAGTAATATCGTGCTTTACCTGGAAACCTAAAGCTGCACTAGGTGTACATCACATATTAGCACAAAAACACACTAACTAGCGGAAGTGTTTGTGGGCAGGTCAGACTCTGTTCGTATTTCGCGGGCAGGCGGGGATTATGCAAATGTGTTACCCAGTGACATATACCGGAGACAGGCAAAAGATTCGAAAATATGACGACTCTTTAAGGCGATTCAGAATCGATTCTCTCTTTTGGTTTGCTAAAAGCAAAAACCTGACAGATTATTTTGGAGTAACAAAATTCAGAAACAAAAATTCAGCTTAACACCCATGGATGGTGGGAACTCAGTGGTTAAAGTTACAATTGAGCAAGGTACCTTAACTCCAAATTGCTCCAGGGGATTTTTTTGGAAATTGGATATTGAATTTAAAGAGCAGGTCATCTGGTATTTTAAAGTGTCCTAATATTGTGTGGCAGTCCCCTACAACAGGTTTAAATGCATCTAAGGTCAGAAAACATTGTAATTTTATCAGAATATACATTTAATATTAGAATCATTTGCCAATGATTTCTAAACGGTGTGTTCCAAGCAAGTTCGGAGCAAACCCTTCCCTTCCATAAGCCTACTCTGCTCTGATTGGTCAGCTGGCCAAGCCTGCTGGGATTGGCACAGAGAGGAGTCCTTGAGCAAGTTAGCGAGTGCTACCATTGACAAAGCACCTTTGCATAAAACAATAATATAGTGCTCCAATCCGTTCTTATAATAATGACATACAATACTAAAACACTTATGCAAGCAAATGCCCACAGCTAAAGTTAAGCTGCTAAACTGTGGACACTTAAAACAATAATGGTGGATACGTTAGCCGAGTGATAACATACATTTTGTAAACCAAAATATGTCTACTGTAATGTTTGAAGAATGACAGAGAAAAGATGCTCTTTGTCTTAACTTTTTAATAAGAACAGCTGTATCACAGGCGCACCAGCCTAACTCGCTCGTCTCTCCCGCATTAACCCTATAACTGCCGATGCAGCAAAATAAACAGCAATTTCACAATGATTATAAAGTCTGTGCGCTACACTACATTCTTTATTATTAAATGAAGTAATTAGAACAACGTCAGTCTACATTAATCGACACATTCTTAGGAAATAGTGGGTTCAAAGCGACTTATCAGAACTACTTCAGTAAGACAGTAATATCGTGCTTTACCTGGAAACCTAAAGCTGCACTAGGTGTACATCACATATTAGCACAAAAACACACTAACTAGCGGAAGTGTTTGTGGGCAGGTCAGACTCTGTTCGTATTTCGCGGGCAGGCGGGGATTATGCAAATGTGTTACCCAGTGACATATACCGGAGACAGGCAAAAGATTCGAAAATATGACGACTCTTTAAGGCGATTCAGAATCGATTCTCTCTTTTGAGAGACAATATCTTTATTTATCATGCACATTTTTGATTAACAACTTTGCAGATTGTTTTCATTTAAGGACAGCTATGTTATAAACTGCAAAATAGTTATTTTTCAAAAACCCATATCACCAGCTCTTTAAGTATCTGCCTACTAACTAATAACCAACACTGGCCTGGGGCGTTCTGTTGCATTGAAAGTTCGGGGCTAGAAACCAGAAGGTTGCATATGTGTAAATGCATGAGAATGACTTATTTCATTCAGCTAGAGATCTGTGTCTAATGTAAAAACAGTTAAAACAATGATTTTAAGACAGACAGTGATTCAAAGTATATGGCAAATCGTCTCAGGTTACGTATGTAACCATGTTTCCCTGAGAAGGGAACGAGACACTGCATCCTCTAGAGGTTGCTATGGGGAACGCCTTCAGCGTGACCGGTGTCTGAAGCATACATCTAAACACGACTATAACATTGGCCGGCGACAGCAGTAGACGTGATGTCATCAACTGGCGCGACCACGGTAGAAAAGGGCACGGGGAGAACACATCATCCGCTTCTTCATCTGAAGCTTTGACTGGCTCCCTCCCAGTCAAACTTGTGCGTGCGATTTAAAGGAACAGATCTTTGGTAGCAACACCCTGCTCAGAAATGTATCAACAGAGATACATAAGTTGAGTGGAGCCCAAGGCAAGAACTGGGGCTTAAACCAACTCAGAAAAAGGGAATGAGGCTGACAGCGCGTAACCCTTACCATACAGGATTTTAGAAAGTGCGCATAATGCATAGCATGCACACTTACCACAATGTGGATTTTAGAAAGTGCACAGAAGCTCAGCACGTGCACTTACCATAGCATGGATTTAGAAACACCATTGCTTAAGGGGTAACCGAGTCTGTATTAAACCAGCCTAGGGACCCTACATGACTGTGGAACACTCACAGAACAGAATCCGAAGCATCTGCTCACAGAAGCCTAGAAGGGAGCAGCGCGCTTGCAAGAGGCCTCACTTCATGGTGAGGGGAGCACAGCTAGCTCACTTAACAAGCAACCCGCCGGAGAGGCAGGAGATGGCCCAGCTGCCTGGCATGATTGCTATCCGAAGCTCAAAAGAGCGGAGGCCCAACTTAAAAAATAGAAGGGGGACTCAGACGCTCAGATCGAGAGGGGTGTGCTCATATGAAAGCCCCAAGGGCACTGCTAAGCTCGACCCACAAGGAGAGCGGCTCAACAGGGAGGCGGAGAGAGCTGACGACCTGAGGCTGCTACTCAATGGAGCTCAAACGAGTGGAGGACTCGATGAGGGAAGTCCACAGACGCTCAATCGGGAGCGGCAGGCTCAAGACAACCCTCTGATGTGAGGGGAGCACTGCCTGGCTTGACCCAAATAGCACTGGGGTCCGGACCATCATTAGGTAGTTCTATGAGACATAGAAACTAGCCAAAACATCATAGGTCCAGCATAAAAGACTGCAATGCAAGTGCAGGAGGCTCCTACCTAACCTCAGTCAGGAGGGAAGATTTTTAGGGGAATTAAGGGAAGGAAGATTAGAACAGATGTAATACTCTCAGAGGGAGGTGAGTAGATGGGTCAAGTTTTACTCTGGTCCAGACGAGAGCGTTGAAAACGCCTAGTCTGGATCAACTCCCTCAAATCTTGCCTGTCACCCTTAGACCCACACCCCTTATGAGCCCTACCCGCAGGCGGGGGAGGGGAGCGAGTCATGACACTAGTCTTCTGAGCCCGCCTTCGATCCTTAGATCGAGACGGGCCAAGACCCCTTTGATATTCAGGCTCAGACCTGGACCTTCATAGAATGAAGGATTTAAAGGCAGCCGAGCGCGTCTTGGCCTCCTTAAACTTATCGACCACCGTCTCGACGGAAGTGCCGAAAAGCTCAGAAGGGAAAACTGACGTGTCAAGAAGAAAGCCCTTCTCTTTTGACCCGATATCCGCCAGATTCACCCACAGATGTCTCTCCATAACCACGATGGCCGCCATGGATCTGCCAATGGCAGTGGTGGCCAGCTTAGTGGCATGGAGAGCAAGATCTGTGGTGCGACACAACTCAGCCAACTCATCAGGGGATAGACCCTGACCCTTATCCAGGTCTTTCAGCAGATAAGCCTGATAAGCCAGAAGAACCGCCATGGCATGCAACGAGGCTGCAGCCTGACCTGCTGCCGCGTATGCCCTGCCATTCAAACGAGATGAGTAGATGGGTCAAGTTTTACTCTGGTCCAGACGAGAGCGTTGAAAACGCCTAGTCTGGATCAACTCCCTCAAATCTTGCCTGTCACCCTTAGACCCACACCCCTTATGAGCCCTACCCGCAGGCGGGGGAGGGGAGCGAGTCATGACACTAGTCTTCTGAGCCCGCCTTCGATCCTTAGATCGAGACGAGCCAAGACCCCTTTGATATTCAGGCTCAGACCTGGACCTTCATAGAATGAAGGATTTAAAGGCAGCCGAGCGCGTCTTGGCCTCCTTAAACTTATCGACCACCGTCTCGACGGAAGTGCCGAAAAGCTCAGAAGGGAAAACTGACGTGTCAAGAAGAAAGCCCTTCTCTTTTGACCCGATATCCGCCAGATTCACCCACAGATGTCTCTCCATAACCACGATGGCCGCCATGGATCTGCCAATGGCAGTGGTGGCCAGCTTAGTGGCATGGAGAGCAAGATCTGTGGTGCGACACAACTCAGCCAACTCATCAGGGGATAGACCCTGACCCTTATCCAGGTCTTTCAGCAGATAAGCCTGATAAGCCAGAAGAACCGCCATGGCATGCAACGAGGCTGCAGCCTGACCTGCTGCCGCGTATGCCCTGCCATTCAAACGAGATGTATCCTGAAGGGGTTTGGATGGCAGGGAGGGAGCCTTAAGAGAACATGTCTCCCCCAAAGAGAGATAGCAGGCCAACATCTCTTCAACAGGGGGCATCTTCTCATAACCATTCTCACGCATACCCTCGACGCTGGCATAACTAATATGCTGGAATCTATGGATGCGAGACGAGAATGGATTTTTCCAAGCCTTCTCGATCTCTACATAAAGATCGGGAATAAATGGAAGGCTCACCTAAACTGGAGGGCTATGGCTAGAAATAAAATGCTCGTTGAGGCGGCCTCGAGGCGTCACTTTCTTGGCCTGCTTCCACGGCAAGTCAAGCCTCGCCGTGGAGCGATCTATAACCTCAAGCAGCTCATCATATGCGGGGCAGGAGAATTGGGAGGACTCAGTCTCGACTTCTTCGTCCTCACTTGACATCTCCTGCTCATCCTGGCTTTGAGCCAGCACAGCACTAGCCGCTGGATCAGATGATGTAAGAGAGATGGCATCATCGTCCAGCAGCTCACTCTCGTCTGTGACTGATGAGCGTGAAAGGCAAAGTCCCTTTTTCAACTCATCAGCCAAGTCCGTCTGCGATCCCCACGAGCTCATTTTCCTCCGTGCCTCAGCAGCGGAGGGTCCTGAACCACGAGGAGCTGGTGCTGTCCCTCCTTCCTCGAATAGAGAGACAAATGAGAGCGGCACTTTTTCATAGGAAAACGCTCACAGTGCATGCAAACTGCCCCCGCGAGGACATCATGCATGTGCTCTTCGCCCAAACACAAGACGCAAAGATTGTTTGTGTCATCAGGTGTCAAATAACGAGGACACAGATCCACACACTTCTTAAACACCTTACTAGTGCTCACCATAGTAAAGAAGAAGAATTGTTCTTACCGGAAATGCATGCTTCAAACAAAGCTGTCCTTGAAGACGAAGAAGAGGATGATGTGTTCTCCCAGCGCCCTTTTATACTGTGGTCGCACCGGGTGATGACATCACAGGCTGTCGCCGGCAAATGTTATTGTCGTGTTTAGATGTATGCTTCAGACACCGGTCACGCTGAAGGCATTCCCCATAGCGACCTCTAGAGGATGCAGTTTGAAGTTCCCTCGGAAGGGTGGCTTTTATAATCCTCAGCCAGATCCCAAACTAAAATTGCAAATCTATGGTGACAAATATCTATACTGTGTATCTATATCTTGTGAAAAATGATTGGAGTATAGTTTGTATAAGAAGATACTATTTCAGTCTTCCTACTTTAAAATGTCATGTTTAATTCAATGTGTTACTTGCCATTTCTGTCTACATAGAATATTCCAGGTTTTTTAATAATTTTAGTTTTTTTTCAAATAAAAATACATTTCTTTATAACTTTTAATTAAAATGCAGTAAATAATTATACCTGATAAAATACCATTTAAAGTTCCATCCTACATTAATTTTTTTATCTTTAAATATCCTGTTTCATCTGAGAATGTTGCACTATACAAGTAAACTGGTTTGCAAACTGAAATTGTGTGTGTGTGTGTGTGTGTGTGTGCGTGTGTGTGCGCATTTTCCACATTAAGGAATTTTAGTCTGTCTGTTCTTTGTCTTTAGTGGAGGAAGTCAATTTGAAGCTTGTGATCACTGTCACATGTTTCCATGTGGCGGTCACGCTGTGCATCTCTTTTGACCATTATTCTTGATAACTTGCCCCAAAATTGGACTTGTTAATGTGTTCTTTTGTGTTAATGTTGAAAACTGTTCTGTGACAGGGGCTTAGGTTTAGGCTTGCTTCAGAGAGGCTGGGGTCCGATTTATGACATCCTGTTGTCAGGGGCCTCTGTGGAATTTTTGTGACTCCTCGTGCCTCAACTCGGTTCTGACCAAATCTTAGATTGTCTGATTCGGTCTGATATCCTACACTACATTTATTTTTTTATCTTTAAATATCATGTTTCATCTGAGAATGTTGCACTATACAAGTAAACTGGTTTGCAAACTGAAATTGTGTGTGTGTGTGTGTGTGTGTGTGCGTGTGTGTGCGCATTTTCCACATAAGCTTGAGTCTTTCTTCAAAGAAAAAAATTAATCCAAAAATTGTAATTCTTTATTTCTCAACCAGACTATGAGAGTTTGAGGATCGGGGGTCTGGCGTTTGCTGTGGTGCTGTTTGCTCTGGGAGTGCTCCTTATTCTCAGTAAGAAACATTATTTTTAATTCATCATCTTCATTCAGAAGCTAAATCGTGCCGAAATTAGTCTAAAACAAAAGAGATCAGAGCACAATAGCTAAACTGAGCTGCTGCACAATATATAACTATACAGCAGTGCTTTTATTCAACTGAGCATTAGATTAAGTTTTATTATGAAATAGAGATGCACGAATGTCACACTCAGTGGAAGAGATATAAATGAAGACATGCTTGCTATCAACATTTCATTCGGGTTACAGAAATAACATATGTAAGGGATTATTATCCCAGTCATTATCACAAAATAAAACCCGACAGGTCGTTTGTATGGTTTGACATTCATCCGTTTGATCTAAATCGTTTTGCTTGTGTGCACCCTGCAGGCCGCAGATGCCGCTGCAGTATCAACCAGAAGCCCAGGTTAGTCATATACAGCCTCTTTTATTTGCTGGCATGTGTTGCATGTGTTTATAACCATCAGTTATAATTTTCTTTGTACTATATGTTTTCTCAGGGCTCCGGGAGATGAAGAAGCTCAAGCAGAGAACCCCATCGTTTCCAAGGGTGAGATTCAGTACCATCTCTTGTAATACACGTTGGTCATCTTTAAGAACAATTTTAACTGTTCTTTTACTATTCTTCGTCATAAAGCCAAGGAGACCCCTAAAGCAGAGAACTGAAACAATCCAGGTACAGAGACTTTCCTTATGAAAGTGTGATTATGGAATCAGAAATGACCAAAAATGCAGAGAGCTTGCGATATTATGTAATATCGGCTTTATTTCTTCTCAGTGCTGTTGAACACATAGCTGTGGCGGAACGACTTCACTGATGCTGCGGATGCTGATGATGATGAAGCTGATTCCAGACCATGGCTATGAGAGGATAGAGAGGAGACAGAGATTTGTGGGGGGAGGCAACTATGACTTGGATTTTTAATGGGCCAGTGTCTTGTACGTAGACCTCTAGTCCTGTCACGTGAACAGTAACCGTATCCGTCTTTTCGTCCGTGCTCTTTTGCAACAGTCCGTCTCGAGTGAGTTGTTTTAGCAAAATTAGCCACTTTCTGCAGTTCATTCTTAACATTTTTGGCTCCCTCCCAGTCAAACTTGTGCGTGCGATTTAAAGGAACAGTTCACCCAAAAATTAATAATCTCATTTCATACTAAACCTGTATGCAGTTATTTTTTTTTATGTTGAACACAAAAAGAGATAATATTAAATATTCTTATAGCCCTTATTATATAATGACAAAACCTAAGAAAAATATTAAAAAAAAAAACACCATAGTTTTAATTTTTGGATGAACTGTCTCTTTAAAACAATTTTGTTTTAACGTCCAACAGTGAAAAACAATTACTATTATTGTTGATGAGACCACTTGTTATTGTTATTTGTGTCGCACCTGCTGTTTTTTTTCTCTTGTAGATTGTATAGATTATATGCACACATATTTAAAGTATTTAATATAAGTAAGTATTGATTCATATGTGATGCAGAATATATATTTGAATATACAGTGTATGCATGTGTGTATGAATAGATCCTGTAGAGCTTGTATGAATGTGTGTGTGTGTGTGTGTGTGTGTGTGCATGTACGCCCACATTCAGGGCTCCTCCTCCCGACAATCTTTCAATCATTTTACCCAGACCAAGCACAAAAACAACACAGTGCCACCACTGTACCACACTGTCCTCTGATCAGCTGCAACACTGCCAGGCTCAAAGCCCCCATTCGGACCCACAGTCGAAACGTCTGCGGCCTAAGAGCGAGACCGCAGAAGCAGTTCACTTCACCATAGTGCCACAAACCTGTGTCCTTTACCTTTACTATCACACGTCTTCTGTAGCCTACGTATTCACTTTGTTAAAGGAATAGTTCACCCAGAAATGTAAATATTTTATTATCGTCTACTCGCCCTCATGTCATTAAAACTTAACAAACAAGATGGTTGTCATTGTTATGTGGAGCACAAAAGGAGATATTTTGCTGAATGTCCAAGCAGCTGTTTTCCATACAGTAAGGTAAAGCATAAAGTATACAAGCGCATTTGCAGACTGAACTTTATTTGTTTGCGAATGCAGTTAGTAAACACATGTGCACAAGGGAAGTTTCATTCTTGTTTAGTGTCTGTGCTATGTCTATAAAAGTTACGAGCAAAAAAAAAACTGTTGTGTTTTGAAAGTAGTTTCTTATTTGACGGTGAAACAACAAGCCAGGACAGTGTTGCCAACTAGTGGACAAACTAAACAGTGCAAAATATGCATCTAGAAAAACATATAAATAATTTTTTTGGGGGGCATATTGAGTAGCATTTGTATAACACAGTTTTACTACAAATACCATGGTTACACTATGGTTTTTGTAGCAAAACCATGGTTAATTTGTGTTAACCATGTTTGTTTGTTTTTTGTAGTAAAACCGTGGTTCATTTTCGTAAGGGTGGGACTTTAGTGCAAACAAAAAAAACTTTTATATTAGTTTTATATTATAAAACTAATATAAAAGTATGTCATATGACTTGTATTTCATATGATGATATATACGCAAGGAACAGACTGAAATTTAAATAATTATTTGCTGAAAATCTCCAATGTAGCTCTCAAATCTCTTTCGGCGTTCTTCTACGTTAGTGTGCACATTTTGCGTGATCAACTCTGCGCCATATTTTAACGTAAGCCAATGTGAATGAGATAGATAGGAAGGTTTTCAGCAAGCGACTTAAATTTCGATCTGACACTTCAGAGCTATGGTGAACTTGGCTTTCAAATCACATGAGGTTGAGTAAACAATGACAGACTATTGATTCTTGGGCAAACTAACTCTTTAATATAATTTGTGTCGCACCTGCTGTTTTTTTTCTCTTGTAGATTGTATAGATTATATGCACACATATTTAAAGTATTTAATATAAGTAAGTATTGATTCATATGTGATGCAGAATATATATTTGAATATACAGTGTATGCATGTGTGTATGAATAGATCCTGTAGAGCTTGTATGAATGTGTGTGTGTGTGTGTGTGTGTGTGTGCATGTACGCCCACATTCAGGGCTCCTCCTCCCGACAATCTTTCAATCATTTTACCCAGACCAAGCACAAAAACAACACAGTGCCACCACTGTACCACACTGTCCTCTGATCAGCTGCAACACTGCCAGGCTCAAAGCCCCCATTCGGACCCACAGTCGAAACGTCTGCGGCCTAAGAGCGAGACCGCAGAAGCAGTTCACTTCACCATAGTGCCACAAACCTGTGTCCTTTACCTTTACTATCACACGTCTTCTGTAGCCTACGTATTCACTTTGTTAAAGGAATAGTTCACCCAGAAATGTAAATATTTTATTATCGTCTACTCGCCCTCATGTCATTAAAACTTAACAAACAAGATGGTTGTCATTGTTATGTGGAGCACAAAAGGAGATATTTTGCTGAATGTCCAAGCAGCTGTTTTCCATACAGTAAGGTAAAGCATAAAGTATACAAGCGCATTTGCAGACTGAACTTTATTTGTTTGCGAATGCAGTTAGTAAACACATGTGCACAAGGGAAGTTTCATTCTTGTTTAGTGTCTGTGCTATGTCTATAAAAGTTACGAGCAAAAAAAAAACTGTTGTGTTTTGAAAGTAGTTTCTTATTTGACGGTGAAACAACAAGCCAGGACAGTGTTGCCAACTAGTGGACAAACTAAACAGTGCAAAATATGCATCTAGAAAAACATATAAATAATTTTTTTGGGGGGCATATTGAGTAGCATTTGTATAACACAGTTTTACTACAAATACCATGGTTACACTATGGTTTTTGTAGCAAAACCATGGTTAATTTGTGTTAACCATGTTTGTTTGTTTTTTGTAGTAAAACCGTGGTTCATTTTCGTAAGGGTGGGACTTTAGTGCAAACAAAAAAAACTTTTATATTAGTTTTATATTATAAAACTAATATAAAAGTATGTCATATGACTTGTATTTCATATGATGATATATACGCAAGGAACAGACTGAAATTTAAATAATTATTTGCTGAAAATCTCCAATGTAGCTCTCAAATCTCTTTCGGCGTTCTTCTACGTTAGTGTGCACATTTTGCGTGATCAACTCTGCGCCATATTTTAACGTAAGCCAATGTGAATGAGATAGATAGGAAGGTTTTCAGCAAGCGACTTAAATTTCGATCTGACACTTCAGAGCTATGGTGAACTTGGCTTTCAAATCACATGTGTGTGTGTGTGTGTGTGTGTGTGTGTGTGTGTGTGATATAAATGTGGTTTTTACAAATACTTTTCACAATAAAAATTTTCTTTTTTAATAAAATGTTTTAAAATTTTAAAATAAAATGTATGTAAGAGACAATAAAAATAGCATAAATAAATTGTGAAAGTGTGCTAATGTACTGTATTTGTAATGCATTTTTTATAAAAAATAAGTCAAGAAACACCCAACAACTAACTATATAACTTTATCGTTAATGGACATCAGTTACATTTAATTTTACCACTAAATGCTATAATAGAGACATTTTTGACTCATGTGGTTTTCATTTTTATTAAAGTTGATCAATATGTTCCTCACCTCATTCCCCCCTAATATCTTTGGCAGGTTTTATTTGATTTATTTATTTTATTTTATTTTTTGCAAGTTGCCTTTGACTTGCTCACTGGGCAATTAAGGCATTACTTCCTTTAAAACGTCTTTGAAGCAATATATTCTGAAAGCGCTATTCAAATAAAATGAAGTGAAAACCTATACCACTTCATTTGCAGCCTGTGTTTGCATGTTATTTTAGGTGTTGCAGTTCAGGGGCCCGTTCTTCGTACGTCGCTTATTACATCCGAGATGAAACATCACATCCAAGACGATCTGGCTAATTCGGCTCTTCGAACGCAGCTGTTGTTGATGATTAGTATGGCTGGATTGAGTTATCTGAGATAACTGCGCGTTCATGGGTTGGTTTAAAAGGGGCTATGTATCGATACTCGTAACCACGATCAGCAATGCAGCGATTGGCTGGCGGCAAGACAGCAAAGTAATGACATCATATAATTAAAAAAGACACCTGACGAAAAACTTTTATAAGGAAACAACCAAGCGAACAAAACTACATACATGTTATAATAGATAAATGAAATGTGCAATGTTTTTATTTTTATTTTCATTTTTTACATGATTCCCAATTATTTATATTCACGATTTCTAATATTTGTACAGGCTTTACATTTTTATTTCAATGTAGTAATTAGCAATTCATTTAATTTTATACTTGAACAGATTTGTCACGTGACAGCATTAATTAAAGTTTCTTAAGGGTCAAGACATCCTGTTTACATGAAATAAGCCTGCTCCCGAGCAGGTTTAAGCTTACGGACCTGTTGCTATGACAGCAACTCCAGAATTTAAGAACCAAATGATCCAAGATCACGCCAAATCATCAACAATCAAATCCAGCTAACTGAGTTAGCGACGCACGAAAAACGGGCCCCAGGCTGTTGTGTTGGACTGTGAAACTCAAAATGACAGTTATGCCATGTTTTCCCTGCAGACCTTGATTTCCTCTTCTAACTCTGTAAGTTTTAGCCTATCTGTGTGTGTGTGTGTGTGTGTGTGTCTGTGTGTGTGTGTGTGTGTCATATCAAATCACTGATGTGTGGATGTCTGGGCCTGTAGGTAACCGCATCAGACGGTGTGGCAAGCGTAAGGTAAGCACCCTTAACTTACTGATGTGTTTCTGGTGACATCTAGTGGTCAGTGTTTAGTACAAATATTGTAATTTTAAACAAAGGAGTTGACATTTTTTACTGCTAGATATATTCACTGGAGTAGGTTTACTTTGAAATTGACTGTAATATATGTATATGTATATGAAAACTTGCATAGAACAAATATATTATGAGAAATGTCCTTTTCACAATGAACAGAAAACTGTACTACTTTTCAAAATTGTACTATGACTGTAGTAGTAAAAATAACAAATATTTGTATATTAAGTGCATGACTTTGATCTGAGCTGACAGTCTTTAAATGTCTCTGTATTTTGTGTGTGTCAGGCGAAGCATGTGGATGAAGAAATTTAAGATGGCTCATTTCTCTACTGGATGGTTTTGAGATGTGAACTGCCTGTAAATTTGGAAAAAGTCATATTATTATGTTGAACTTAACTTATGTTTAACTTAATTGTTAAACATTTC